CGCTTCGCTCCATCTTATGGTATCCATTTATCCCACTTTGTCCAATTTAAAGCTCTCTGTTGTGGGTGTTTTGGGTATGGGTATGGGTACCGGTATGGGTATGGGTGTTCCAGGTCTCGCCGACTGGCTTGCATCACTTTGCTTGGTTTCGTCTTCGTCGTCGTCACTCGAGTTCCCTCCCCATCTTTCATCCTTAATGGAGTTTGAAATTTGAGCCTTCGTTTCTTCGGCGATGGAGTATGTGTCAGCAGGAGATAACATTATGAGTTGCATGAGATAAAGAGGAGGCGAGTTACACAAGATAAAGAGGAGATAAGCGATAGTAGGTACCCTACTGGCAGGCATTGGACTCCATCCAAGACGCACTTCACTCTACTTGAGAAACCCTTCACGCCATCCAAGTCTAGTCCTAGTCATCCCTTTTACCGCCCACCATCCCAGCGAGGTGGTGTCCATGCCATGTTGGTGTGGATTAAAGAGTCGTAGTGGGTGCGAAGTTGTTGTGGATCAAGGAGTAGTTGTGGATCAAGAAGTCGTTGTGTTAAGAAGTCGTTGTGGATGTGAAATTACCTTGGGGCGTGGATGCGATGCCAGCGGCGTACATCGTTCTGTGTCCTAAATCTGAACGTCGAGTCGAAGTGGTGGTGAGAGGAGACATTGGATACCTAAATGTTCGCATCGCCTGCCAGAAGATGCGTCTATTACCTCGTGCCTCCCTTGGCCTATGTAAAATTTAATGTAGTGGGGGAGTTATAGTGGCGTCCTCCTAGCCTCGTCCACCGAGAAGGATTCAGGAAGAGTTCTGGGAGTAGACGAGAGGAAAGAGAGAGGAAGTCAAAAGCAGAAACAAGAGATAGGAAACAAGGGCGACGATATAGTAACCACAAAAGGAAAGCAGTTTGAGCGGGGGTTGGGAGGTATGTCGTAGATAACCGAGGAAGGGGAGTGGTGGAAGCAAGTTGGAGGACACGGTCACTGGTAAAGTATATGTGTACGTGTAGATGGTAAGTATGAAGTCGACGGCGGCGGCTCGTTGGCCCTGGTTAGTTGTCGACTGTTCACGCGTCCATTGTCCACATAAACGGTGGTTGGACCATGGCTGGCGAAGGTCCAAAGGGCAAAGTACACGTGATGGCGTGAGAAATCAAATCCCCATTGAGTCCGGCGTCGACAATGGTGTTCAAAAGATCGTTCACCTCTTGCCACTGCTTGACTCTCAACCACATCGTTTTTTAATCCATAGAGCTTTTATAGTTCCTCATACATCTCTCAACACACCTACGGGGCCCAACTGTAGCTACGATGGCTCCACGAAGTCTTCCACCGCGGTACGTTAGACTCAATCTTCGCACAGACGGGTGTGGCTTTACTCATTTCGACCAACCCTTCAGGACGCCCAAGAAATACAAGAAGAAACTGGCCCATGCCAGAACCGTACCGAACCCGAAGGATACACCACGGTCGCTCCCATCGTTGGCCCCGCTTATCGAAGCGCGCAGGCTTCGCGCCGAAATTGGCGACTTGATGAATTCGGAAACTCTCGTCTGCACGCCCGACGAGTTCATGGACTGCTACATGCCACCCCGAGACCAAGAGAAGATACAGATAGTGTTGGACCTCTTACTCGACGCAGGAATTCTTGTCCCTCGCAATCCTAATCTGCCGACCGCTACCGAGTCGACAAAGGGTGCATACCGCTATGTGTTTAAGGTCTTCCAGCAAAAGCCCTCTGAAGTGAAGAAGGGAGCGAAGAAGCGTCCCCAAGGAGATGACGGCGAGAGCAGTGAGAGAACCGTGAATGAGATCCGGATGTTCGACAATCTAGGCGAGGTCGGCCAGGCGATTCTCCATGCCTTGAAGAATGTCGATGGGGTGAAAACCAACGGCTACCAGATTCGCATGTGCCCGCACAAGCCAGTCACATCGACAATCGAGGGAGATGGCCACCAGATAGATGCTGCACTCACGAGGAATCTCAACAAGAAGATACCTCTGCTCGTGACTGACATCATAATCCCGTTTGAATTCAAACTGGAGCTTGTTAACAAAGAAGGGGTACGTCTTGATTAGCTCTTTACATCTTTGGTCTAGTCTGACGTGTTATCTTCTGTCTGCAGAACCGCCAGCAATTGGTTTGCCATGTGAACCACACCATGAACGACGATCCCCGTCGTCTATGGGTCTTCGGGGTAAGTTCTATTTCTCGCTTCACATGTTCAATGCTGACCGAGGTGGATAGATAACTATTGAGGATGACCAGGTCACTATCTGGTATTTCTCCCGTTCGCACTCGATGATGTCAACGTCCTTCAGCTTCCTTGATGTAAGTCACATATTGTCCCATGGTTCTTCCTCTCTCTGACAGTCACACAGCGCGCAGACTTACTCGTCGAGATCCTGGTCTCGTTCTTCTGTGCAACGGACGAGCAGCTTGGCATCGATCCCAATGTCAAGCTAGTCGGAAAGGACAAATACGTCTACAGGTTCCCCGCCGATTCCACCAACCCCAAACCTGCCTACTATTACACTGTTGACTCCATCGAGGAGTATCGACCACTGAAACTGCGGTGTCGCGCAACTCGCCTTTGGAGGGTTACGCAAGTCGAATCTTTTGACAATTACAATCGCATTACCAACAAAGACTTTGTCCTCAAGGAAGTCTTCCTCAATTCCGACGCTCCATCCGAGATGGATATCCAGCAGAAGCTTTTCGAGGACGTAAAGAAGTTTAGGGACGACAAGGGGTGGCGTCAGCGGGAGATTCTATCGGCCTTCAGTCCAGAGAGCAAGAGAACGCTTGGTGCTGCACTCAAAGACTTCAAGAAATATTTCTCCTGCGCCATCCGCCAACACAGTGGCAATCCTGGTCTCGAAGTATCACCCAAAGCACGGGCCGTCTCTAACATATTCCCAGTCTACGTACCACCTCCAGAGCAGCCCCTCGGGAGCACGGTCAGGCGTATGAGCGGAACTCAACCACCTGTCAAGAAAGGTGGTGCGAGGAAGGCGACCCAAAAGAAGCACACCGGAGCGATGGGGTCCCCGCCCGACCCCAACGCACTCACTCCAAGACGCCCATGCCGAGTTCTCTTCGAGAATGTCTGCACCCCCCTTCACGATATACCAACCCTCGGAGAAGCCATCGACGTTTTGAAGCAATGTGTCATTGGTAAGTGGATTCACCCATCGTCGACTCACATGGAATCTAACGCAGGATTATATAGCTCTTCAAATAATGTTCTGTGCCGGATGGGTGCACCGGGACATTAGCGCAGGAAACGTTCTCGCCCTCCGCCGTAAGCGAGGCGGGAAGTGGCAAGTCAAGTTATCTGACCTCGAGTATGCAAAGAGATTCCCTTCGGATGCACCAGCCAGCTCTCAGCCCAAGACAGTGAGTAGCGCCTCTTATAATCAGGACTGGACACTAGACTTATCTCAATTCGGCTGCCTTAAAGGGGACACCTTACTTTATGCCATGCGAAATCCTAATGCAACGTCTCTTCCGAAAGGTTGCCTACAACAGAGTAACAGACATCAGCGACGAGCCTTCGACGAGCGTGGTACCTAGGCCAAGTGTTATACATGGCTATCAGCACGACCTGGAGTCCGTCTGGTGGATCATCCTCTGGTTGATTACCATGCGAGTGGCGATGAAATTGCCCAGAACGTGGGGGAAAAAGATCTTCTGTAACGAGCCGGACGCAAACAATCGTAAGGTCGTTCTTGACCCCAGTGACCCATTGCCAGAACAGCCGGACCTCGTTGAGGGCCTTCCGGAAATTTTGAAAGGCTCGTCGTTCTTAACCGCCGTCGACAATCTTCGCAGAAACATCCTTGTTGAATACATGAATCGCAATGCAGACAACAAGCACAGCGACCTGACATCGTATTCGTGGATTTCTGGAGAAGCGTTCAAGCTATTCTTCAGTCACGTATCGCTCAGCAGAAAGGAATGGGAAGGGCTCGAAATGAAGCAGAAAATGGATGATCTTGAAGATGACATTTTGGAGGATGAGTCGGATTCGGACTCGGATGATTCTGCACCGCCATCGCCCACGGCTATGGCAATCAATAGCGGGAGTGGACCAAGACCGTCCAAGAAGGCTCGAGTGGATAAATTGAGATAAATGTAATGAAATTGATTTATGATGGAGCGGTGGGTGTCGGTATACATGCAGTGACTTATGCGTCTTAGTATTTAGTCTACGATCCATGATACTCTCGCCAAGTGGTCTCTAGCTCATGTACATATCTCGCCAAATCTAGCCATATTCTCAAATGCTATTCAAGAAGAAAGAGGGAGAAGATGAGAGGAAGCACCTGAATCGCGCAAGCTTCCCTGGTGAGAGATAATGGATTGGCCAGTCACCAGATACACTGAATATCGGACGTTGGCGTCGTTTCTGCGATAGGTGAGACGTCCGAGGAGTCGATGAGCACCGCATCGTTGAACTTGAGAGCATCGCTTTCGCCTTCAAAAGACCAGGTCGCTTATTGTAGTCCAAGCTTAGAGATATAAATAAGATTCTCGAGGTATTCCAACGCGAGATCCGTATGAGCCTGCGATCTAGTGGTAGAGTTACCTGCAGTACATTATTCACTGCTCCGTGTGTGGATCTGTAGCTGGTAGAGCTCACAGGAAGGGTTAAAACGACGCGAGTGCCCTTCCGATTGGTTAGGAGTTGCGACTGATGGGGCGTGCGCGTGAGAATCGGCGGGTGCGGACTTGATGGTCCGAGTTGAGCGCGACGCCTCTTGTCTTCAAACCATCACCATCCTCAAAGAATTTCCGTCTTGTCGCATATTCCCTCCACCTCAAACCATTACGGGGCACCTAAATATGATGCCACTCACGAGCACTGTTAACATCGAACAATTCGTCCCTGATCACCTACCCAACAACAACGCCGACGCGTTCGACGCTGTTATCGCGGCTCTCAAGAATGAGAGAGTCCTTGTTTCTGCCCGCCAGACAAAGGGACAGCGTTCCTCAAAGCTTGGATACGGCTTTGGATTGCTGAAGTCCTTGTTTTCATCTCGCCCTCCTAATCCAAACGAGGTCCTCGAGTCTTTGCGAACGATATGCCAGGTCGTCAACAAAACTTTGGAAACTCTCGGAATTCTCGTGCCAGGTGGCAAAAGACTGTCGATGCGAGCCAACGGCAACAGTGGGCTTCTGGCCGACGCCTGCTTCACAAAGGAAACGGAAGGGCCGCTGAGCCCTCTCGAGGTCGTCGTTCCTATTGCTGCGCTTCCTCGAAATGAGAGTGAAAAAAAGGTATGGCGGACTGGAATCACAATCCACGTCGCGGACTCATGTCGGGTTTAGGGAAAGAACCACCTCATGAAGCGTATGGTTACCACCATGAACGAAGACCCGCGCAGATTATTCACGTACGGGGTGAGTGTGGTCTATTCAATGTCATCTGGTCGGGCTAATCCATTATTATAGATCACCATTCACCATGACCAGATGACTTTGTATCGCGTCACTCGCTCGCATATGGTCCAATCTTCTCCGTTCAGCATGACTGAGGTGAGAACTTCGCTCCACAAACTTGGTGGCCTGCTACTCACGGCTGCTGTATAGTCCGCGGACGTCTTAACTCGAGTGCTACTCTCCCTTGTCACTGCGACCGACGAGGAGCTTGGATACGACCCTTTGGTGACAATGCTCCCAGACGGGAGCTACATCTACCAGTTACCACCCGAGGGAGGACGATCGACCCCTCTCTTTTATCAGACCTTGGAGCTGATCACCCACTACCCATCGACGAGTCTCGGAGACCGCAACGCTCGGGTATGGAGGGTTAAGCGGGTTGTCTCTCCAACGAACCGGGAGCGCGTGGGTGGAGAGCAGGACAGAGTTCTCAAGGACTTGTGGGTCGATCAAGGGGCGCGCACCGAAGCGGATATTCAGGAGGATCTTTTTGAAGATATCTCGGCCGTAGCGAAAGACGAAAACTGGCGCAAGAAGCCGATCTTCCAGGATTTCTTCGAGCGCGATGTCGAGTCTCTGGCCGAAGCCCTGCAAGGCGATAACTTCAAACGCTACTTTTCGTGCATCATTGCCAAACACGTCCTCTCACCCTCTCCCGATAAGCGCCGGTGCTTCTTCGTGTACGAATCCGTCTGCACTCCACTCCATGATATTGCAACCTTTGGCGAAGTAATCGATATTCTCAGGCAGTCCGTGACCGGTTCGTACGTTACTACTCAGTGTCAGAGCGGCTTACTAACGCGTTCCCTTCAGCACTTCGACTCATGTTCTGCGCTGGCTGGGTCCACCGGGATGTCAGCACGGGAAATATACTAGCCCTTAAAACGGGCTCGAGCTCCTCATGGCAAGTTAAGCTTTCCGACCTTGAATATTCAAGGCGATTCCCAGATACAAACCTCTCCGACGGCGAGCAGATAATGGTGCGTGCTACGACGTCTGCTCCGTTCTCGTGCTGTATTGACAATCAATATTCCAGGGGACTCCATATTTCATGGCATGTGAAATCCACTTCGGGAAGCATCTGTTCCCATCGGATCCCGAAACCGTGTGGACCAAACGATATCCTCGAAGACCTGTAATCCATGGGTACCAACACGACCTAGAGGGTATCTGGTGGATAATCCTCTGGTTCTCTACGATGCGGATTGACCAAGAAGACCTCTCCCGCGAGTTCGGTCGCCTGCACTTCCAGCAGCCGATGGACGACCACTGCATTGGTCGACGTTGTTTACTCTTCACGGATCAAGACCACCTCGCAGGACTTCCGACACTAGTCGACTCCCTTCCTTCCGAGCTCCTAGACTCCAACTTCCTCGACGAACTCCAGAGACTCAAGTATCAGATCCACGGCGAATACATCATTCGCAACGCCGAGGGGAAACAGGACGATATCAGTACCTACTCGTATGTTATCAGCCAGTCTTTCACTCGTTTCTTCGAACGTCTCGAGGAGTCTCGCGCCATGTGGGATGACCTTAAGCTATCGACCACTGCCGAATTGCGACACGAATGCGATGTGGAGACACAACCGTACCGCGCCCCGCGAAAGCGAAGGGCAGATGATGATGAGGGCTCCGATAGGGAAGAGGAGGGTGTCCGGGTCGAACGGAAGGCTGCTGAGAAGAGGAAAATGAAGGACGATCGACCAAAGCAAGATCGACCGAGGAAGAGGGCCCGCTTTGATGCCCCTTTCCCAGAGGTCCAAACCCCGATCCGAAGGTCAGGACCGGTGACGAGGTCAATGACCCGCGCGGCTCAAAACATTGGCCCCATCACGAGAGCTGCTGCTCGCCGTATGCGTGAGGCTGCCGCATCAAAAAACAAGACGACCACTACGGTCCGGAGGTCTCGACGATAATCGCGCTTCCTTCCTCGTCTCTGATTCGCCATCTCGAAGTACTCTCTTCCGTTTCACAATCCATAAACTTCGCCCTTTCTGTAACTAGAAATGCCAATATCACTTTCTTTTAACTTCACCGATTCATATTCGTCGTCTCTGATTTTGAGCATTTTCGTTCATGATTGTTTAAAGTAGAAGGCCCTTTAAACCACAGGTTCAGGAGAAATCGGTAAAGGGGTAGTGGTTGGAATGTTGGCTCAGTGGGTCAGCCTCTCGGACAAGACGCTCTGCCACGGGCCGTTGTTGACTCCTTCAGTAGATACCTCATAGACTAGTTTACCGCACTCAATAGCTTCTAGGTACATACGTAGATATAAAGACAATACTCTGATATCACTGAACAGAGTGAAGGCTCCGAGCGAATCGGAGTTGACGCGATCCCGTGGAAGATGGATATCGTGGGAGCGTTGTTTCCGTTTGATGGCCGACGCGCGACGGTCCCATCTTGTCCTTGAACCACCATCATCGCGAAACGAAATCCACCAATACCACTTCTTTCGTCGCACAAAATGGATAGCAAAATTCATACCTGCCACGTCGAGGAATTCCTCAATTCTTACCTCCAAAATGACCACACCGACACCGTCGACACCGTGCTGGATGAGCTCAAGAAACAAAGGGTCCTTGTCGCTCGGGGGCGGTCTGTGGCTCAAAGAGCATCCTCGTCAACCCAGAAACCTCCTTTCACCCACGTCTTCAAGGGGTTTAAAACCCTTTTTCGATCCGGTTCTACCAAACCCGAGCGTATTCTCAAATCGTTTCAAACGATTGGCAACGCTGTCCGCAAAGCTCTAGGAAAGATTACAGGGGCCACCGTCAATGAGTTCGAGGTCCGAGCGATGGACTCGACCGGTGACGCCTGCATTACGCCTAACCGCGATGGGGGAATCTCTCCCCCCGACGTCGTTGTCCCTGTCAGAGTCACTGGCCGCAGAACTGACCGGGCGGAAGAAGACGAGAACAAGGTATGCTTATGCTCACGAATTCTGAGATTGATGGCGTCGATGTCTGACCAGAAACCGCAGGACCTCAGATACATCTCTCATGTTAATCGTATCTTGAACGAAGACGCTCGCCGGAAATTTGCGTATGGGGTGAGTTTCATTCGTTTACGCTCTTTCGATCGATGCTAAGTCTAAATTAGATAATATTCGAACACGACTGTTTCTCTCTCTGGTTTATGCATCGCTCCCGGGTTGCTAAATCTCTGCCACTCAAAGTAAACCAGGTATGCGATCCTCCCAAGTACCCCTCCTCGAGTATTCAACCCCTTTTTCTAGCATCCTGATGCGCTCGTCAGGCTACTAGTTGCTCTATTCCTTGCAAAGGAAGAGCAACTTGGGTACGACCCCCTCGTGACGCGGCTTTCCGATGGAAGCTACGTGTACGAGCTCCCGCCGGATGGAGAGAGGCCATCATCAGTGTACTACAGGACCGTCGCTCTCCTGTCCCAGTATCACTCCCCCTCGCTCACCGGTCGACGTGCGCGCGTCTGGAGGGTCAAGCAGGTTGTCTCCCCTACAGACCCCAGGAGAGTGCATGGGACGATTGACCGCGTGCTCAAAGATGTTTTGCTTGACGCGACGATGAAGACGGAGGCTGAAATCCAACAGCAGCTATTCCACGACATCGACGCGTTTTCGCAGGACGCCAATTGGCGTAACCGCGACATCCTGAAGGAATTCGACCAAACAACGATAGACTCGATCGCGGAAGCGTTGGAGGGGGGAAACTTTCGACGATATTTCTCCACAA